GAATTTTTCAAAATCTCGAAAATTATTAATCATCGTAATTAATAAATTATAAAATGTTCAGTTTTTATAGCTAAGGATTGAAAATTTAAAACAAGATTCCACGTAAGTAGTTAATTCTCTTACTGAAAAATCTAAAAATATACAATCACAGTTTATTTTTATAGTCATTTTATGTTCAAATTTGGACGAAATTACATATTAAAAAACCTAGTTATTTTGTTGTGATTATATAATATTATTCGTGGGTACCTACTTGAAACTTCTAAAGTGTACTATTATATATTATCTATGATAGTATCAGGGTTTGTTATTGATGTTGTTGTATAACGTGTTATAAGTACCTAATGGATATTGTGATAATGTGATATGATTAATTTGGAATTTATTATAGGTCAATTTTTTTTTTATACCATAGATATGTATATAATTTGTCTTAAACCTAGACTGACATACCGTCTTCGCTCAGAATCGTTTTTCTTATACAATGATAGTATATCATTGAATTCAAATTTAATAGCATCCATTATACAGTGACCCACTTGTAACCTACTGTACAGCAGAGCGACATCCACTTACCCACCTTTTTTTTTAATGTTTTATTTGATAAAAAAAATTCTATTTAGACTTGGATTGCTTACCCTTTCGTTTTATTCAGTCCTGTGGTTGAAAACTGTAATACTGGTCAAGAAGCATTTCTTTGTCATCATCCAATATATGACTTTCATCAAGAGTCGTTCGTACCAGCTATTGTTGGTTTAAATTCAGACGAAGGGGGTTTGCTTGTTGCTGGTGAGTTAAACAATAACTAAAAATCATACTTATTAAATAATTGAACAAAAAATTATTTAAATATATTTTTCAATAACTACCGATTTTAAATAAAAATACATTCAAAAAGTATTTCAAATATTTTCTAATTCTTAAACGTACGTTTTTACATTAACTGACTCATGATAGATTCTTAATTTTTAGGCCGTGTATTAATAGATAAAAACAATTGTTCGTAATCAAATGGTCCAATAGAATTAATACAATGTATAGAATTAATTTATGATTAATGTAATACAGTAGAACCTCGATTATCCGTGACTCGATTATCCGTGTTCGCGATTAACCGTGCTCACTCTTTCGAAAATGTAAAAATAAATATGGACTGTAGATATTAGGGGTCTCAATGGAACAAGTGTTTTTTTGCACCCTTGTATTTGTGACACAGATATATATTTTGAATAAACACGTATTTCACGTGACACCTGAATTCGAAATTGGTACGAGGACTATAATAATGATTAAACAATCACCGAAATTGTCGTCCACGATCGCAGTTACCTGTAACGCCATTTGTGCCTGATTGTCGTGATTTCCATCGCCGCACAATATAGTTTTAAATCTCTCCAAAGTCCTAGGTGGCAAAGTTTTTCACGATCGTGGCCCATATACGTTGCTACATCAATCACAAATTGAACTAAATTCAACCCACTTCATTGACAGGGACGATTTGCCTTAATTTTATTATTTTTTTAAATTAATTATTATTTTAATTTTGTTTTTTCGATATATCCATATTTTGCCATATTTTGCCTATCCTAGTGGTTATAATGTTTTCGTTTACTTTATAATCACGATAATAACATCAACAGTCGATAATAAAAATATCATAATATTTAATCAAATAATTTCGAAAAGGACTCATATCACAGAGATATCACAATTATATTCTTAAAAATTATAACGCGGTCAAAAAGATCGCGGTGCGACGAAAGACGTAATATACACTAATGCGACTAACGAATAAGATTGTACCTGTGTATTTCTAATTATAGTTAAATAAAAAATGTCATTATTATAAAAAGTCTCAATTAACCTTGGTTTTCATTTATCCGTGTGACCCCCTCCCCACCATTACCCCGGATAATCGAGGTTCCACTGTATATAAAATACATTTCAGTAGCGTTTTAATAAAAAAATAAAAATAATACCTATTTACCTAAATGTTATTGTAATTCCACAGCAATGTACAACAATACGTCATTAATACAACCAGAAGTTCGTACCGATTTTAATCGTTTAATATCAATAATGATGAGCTATAATTATTATACAGAACCTGAGAACATTGACAAAATTGGAGAAAAAGTGCGTAAAAAATATTTCCCATCTGGAGGTATAGATGATCATTCACATATTAACGCTGTTAAAGTAGGTACAATAATCAATAATAAAATCAAAACCTTTAATTACTTTATTATCATTCTACATAATCGATGTATGACTGTATTTCAGATGTTCACTGATTCATGTTTTACAGAATGTGTTATTGATATGGCATATAAATTGTCATCTCCCGTGTATGGTTATTTTTATAATTATCAAAATGAATTTTCTTATAATAAAGTGTTTGGCTCATGTGAGAGACCCTTAGGAGTCACCCATGGCGATGAACTAAATAGTATTTTCAAAATGAATAGCTTAAATCCATACGATTTAAATGAAAAAGATTTCGAAGTTTCGAAATTAGTTATTAATATTTGGTATAAATTCGTTGAATCTGAGTAAGTACATTTATTCGAATTGTTTTTATAAGTTTTAACTTGATATTTTAAATCTAAAATGAACCATTATTAATTATACAGTACCTATTGTGTATTTGCGCACAATACAATTATTAATAATATGTACAACGTACCTGTATATACCTATGAATTACTATAAAATTTATTTAGTACCGGTTCACATTGTGTTCAACTTCTGAAGATTAATACATTAATTAGTTGAACATAACCCAAGATGTATGCCTTGTATTATTTTAGTCAATACTTACTACTATATTTTATATTTTACAGTAATCCTACCATCGATGGATTAGAAAATGGTTTACCTTGGCCTGAATTTACAAAACTAAACCAATCGATGATCCTATTCAATTCAAGTCATCCCAGTCTTATTCAAAGTCCATGTATTGATGCCTATGATTTTTGGAAAAAACTTATATAATTCTACAAATAATGCCTGTTTCCGATAATAATCAAAACAATAAAACAATCAAATATTTTAAAAATCAACCGATTAGATATTTTTTAAATATTAAAATTATATAAATACATTATGCACAGGTATTAGATAGGTATATTTTTTAAATTTTTTTAAATTTAACAACCTATTACATATTTACATTATATTATAATAAACAATAAGTAAGAGTGATACCAGCTGTGAAGGAAAAATAATATGATTCACAGAATGAAGAGTACTTTAAAAAACTAGATTGTGTAAAAGTAAATTTGTTTTGAAAATGTAAAATACCTAATAGCGGTTGTTGGTATTTTTCGTGCCTAGAAATTATCAAACATTTTTATTACAGAAAAATGGTCCAAGTTAAATTTGAGCCTTTAGGTAATAATTGTTGTCATTCGAAGGCAGAGCTACTCTTATCATATTATTATTGTTTTAACTTATTTTATTGAATGTTTATAATCCAAATGAATTGACCAACTCTGATTTTCGTTTATACTTATAATAGCTAATAGTACCTTCTTAGGACTCAAATAAAAATAAAAAGTAAAATAAACCGTTTTCCCGAGAATAATTGTTTGTTTTTTTTCTACTAACAATTTATGATTTTATTATTTTAAGAGGTATACATAATTCATATTTATGTCTAATTATGTGTTTAATAGTATTTATTATTGAATAAATATGCTTCATGTTCATAGTTTTGTTACTTACTTGGATCTTGAAATAATAAGTAAACTTAGTAATAGTGTATCGTTATAATTCATAACTAATTAGTGTTTGAATAATAATCATGGTTAAACGTATTATTTTGTTGTTATCCTATTTAATGAATGTTTAAGTACCTATTACCTACCTACCTACTTAGCTATATACAAAAAAAAGAAAATATTATCACTTTTTAAAATAAGTAGGTACCTTATTATTTATTATTCATTAAAAATTGAATTAGATATAGTTTGTTCAAAATACATAATTTGTCTATAATATGATCAGCCAGAGAACACGCAACTACGGATCGACGAAAATCGGTTCTTCTGCGCATCCCCACGAGGCCACCCTGTCATAGATGAACAAGTTTGACGCAGGGGGAATGAGCCTAATCTGCGTGTCCTCTCGCTGAACAGAGTATAGTCGTTAATCAATATTAATTATAAAATTTTTATTTTTATGAATATTAGGCATATAGCGGTATACTTGATAAATCATCACTGGTCTGAATGGGAATAAACAAAAACTTTTTTTTCTTAAAATTTTGATTAAAATTTTGTAACTAATATAGTTACATTATTATACGTAGTGGACTATAATGTGTTTTTCAAGGACCTGGACATCGAATCAGGTAAAATTATATTTTTGTAACTTTAAAAATAATTATACTCTACACTTGGTTTTATAATATTTTTAGAAAGTTAATGAAATAGTATATTTTTAAAGATTTAACCTTTTATTTTCTTCAAAATGGTTTTTTAATTTAAATTCATTATGAAAAGATAATATTTATTGCCTTTTGTACATGCATACGTAATAAATAATTTATTATATTATTGTATACCTATTTGAAATTATTATTAATACATAATAATGGCTGTATTTAAACTGCGGCAAAATTAACCTTTTTCTATAAGTTGATATGTAAACTGTGGCAAAAAAAAATTTTACATTATACAAACTGTGACAAAACTGATAAGATACACTATACAAACTGCGTCAATTTGTATTATATACCTTCTGTATACCTATACTATATTATAGTACCTAAATCATATATACCTACCTATGTGTACCTATGTACGTATATTATTTAATTAATTATGTGATATTGCGTCTTGCGCAGATATTGGTAAGGTAAATCAAAATGTATTTTTAAGTTTTAACGAAGCATATCGGTAATATCGGTTCCTTCACTTTTGATAATACTAGTTAGTATCTACTTGTACAAGTGCTAAATGTTAGTAGAGTTAAAAGTTTAATATTTATTCAACGTGATGGAATTTACAACAATGTTTAGCCAGAATGGCAAACAATTAACAGTGTTAGACAACTTTAAATTCAAATTTAAATATGAATCCAAAATAAGTGGTTATAAAACGTGGGAATGCACTAATAAATCATGCAAGGCCAAATTGGTGTTCAACAAGGAAAAAACTCTAATACAAGAAAAATCAGTTTTATATCATACTCATGAAGCAGATTCTACAATTGAACGTCAAGCAGTAAGTAATAGTATCAAACGAAAAATATCTGAAAGCAATATAAACGAAATGCCATCTAAAATAATAAGAAAAGAACTTCGTAGTTTAGGAAACGATACACAATTACTGACTAATGATATTTCATATATTCGTAGAAATTTATACAATAAAAAAACCAAATATCACCCACCACTTCCCAAGAATATTACGACTAACAAAAACGAAAACTTTTTGCTAATAAATGACAAGGAAACAAATATAATTATATTTACATGTCTCACAAATTTAAAATACTTATGTTCTATGGAAAAAGTTTTTATGGACGGAACATTCCAGTTCTGCACTAAATTTTTTTACCAGTTTTTTGTACGGCATGGTTTTCAAAATGGTATATATAATCTGGTATATGCATTGCTTCCCAATAAACGTACATCGACTTATGAACATTACGTACATTACGATCTCTTAAAATAATTTTTAATAATAATATTTTTTTTTTTAATTTTAAAATTGGTTTTTCCTTTATTTTTCGCCTAATACTCTATGAGTGTCTATAAGTTCTATTGAGTATAATATTATAGGTCGTAATGTTCATGTTGCAAGATAGGGTACAAACTACAAACGTTATCGATCATGAAGTTAAGCCACGGATAAAATACGCATTATAGCTGTCATAATACGTATTATACCTAATTAAACGATAAACGTATAATATATAGGTTATCGTATCGATATGTATAAAGGTAGTACATATATAGAAGGTATATAAAACAAATTGCCGCAGTTTGTATAATGTATCTTATCGGTTTTGTCGCAGTTTGTATAATGAAAAATTTTTTTTTGCCGCAGTTTACATATCAACTTTTAGAAAAAGGTTAATTTTGCCGCAGTTTACCATCTCCCATAAAAATGATACCTTATCAAATGGTTTAATAAAACCTACCTATACAAATTTGCATTAAAAAAAATATACAATTAAAATGATTATAAGCTTATAACTTTTAGCCTATATATGCCTATATTTAAATTGGAAAAGCAGAAAGACACACTATTTAAATTGGCCAGTGCATTGAATATGCATACAAACATATTATCTAGAAACTAATTTTTTTTAAAACTTACGTTTGTTACAATAATCGACAAGTATTTTAAACCTCTTTATCAACCATAGACATAATAATATAATATGGACTGTTGTGTGTTTCATATACCCTGCTGGCTCCTATAGATTACCAACATTGTTAGAAAAAGATAGTAAATACCTGTGCACATGGGCGGGGGTGGGGGATAACAAGCTGAATTATGATTATTATTTTGTTGTTTTATATTTATCAAGTCTCAAATGGTAAACTAGTAATCAAAGGCGTGTATATACATAATACATTATAGATATACTTACGACTAACCAGATTAGCTATAGCCAACATAAATAAAAAAGAACAATTGACAGAAGTTTAAGTTGTATAAAGATTTTCAAATAGTTCACCTAAAAGTCTGAAATTATTAGTCCGGACAAAATAAACATAAAATTGTACTTTATTGTACTATTTTTATGATAAAAATTTTATTCAAATATATTTTTATGTATATCTTATGTTTTATTTTTCTATCAGTATGAACTGTAGAAACACCTACATTATTTTTTAGACTTTATCTTGTGATTTGTGACAAGTGACAACTATGAGTAATTATTCCCCACCCATTCAAAAATCCGGCGTACAACACTGAAGTGGCCTGAAGTGTATTGTGTGGGTAAACTTAATTTTTTTTCTAAAAATGTTGTTATCTTGGTTTTTGAACTTTTATACTCTCACTCTTACACTATTAATGCGTATAGAAGGTCTTAATGTTGTATAGAATTTTTTCTAAAAATGTTGGCCCCCGGGCCTCTATCTATCTCTGTTATAAGTAGATTTGAAAGTATATCATGGTGTAACGTGGTATAGTCATCACCTATTCAAAAATCCTGCGTACAATACTGAAGTGGCCTGAAGTGTATATTGTGTAGGTAAACTTGTGTAAACCCCGTGGCCGTGGTGGGCCTGGCATACATGGACCTGAATATTTTATGGACAAAGACGTGCTACTTGTTTTTATAGATTATAGGCTCGGTGTATTAGGTAAGTCATGGGAATATACAAGGGGGGATTTTAATTTTGGCTGAAAAAATGTTTTCGAATTATTAAAAAAATTATATATTCCTCAGCTACACATCATATTATTTTAGGTAAAATAGGGATTCGCAATTTTAAAATGTTCATAACTTGATTTAAAATATAAAAAAAAATTTAAATATACCTATATTATATTAAAATGTTTTAGTCACACATTTATTTTTATACATTTAAAACAAGTTTTAAAAAAAAACATTATCACAATAATTCATTCATATGAGTATTTTAGTTATTATTCAATTAATGTGTGCTTGTAAAGGGTTCCTTAGTACCGAGGATGATGTGATGCCCGGCAACTATGGAATGAAAGATCAAGTGATGGCTTTACTTTGGGTACAGAGAAACATCATTCATTTCAACGGTGATCCTAGTCAAGTGACAATATTTGGCGAAAGAGCAGGAGGCGCTAGTACAGGATTTCATATGTTATCACCGATGAGTAAAGGTCTTTTTCATAAAGTTATACTTCAAAGTGGTAGTCCAGTTTGTAAATGGGCTGTTTCGCCTATTGGACTTCCTCGTAAACGCGCACACGTGGTAGCACTTATCGCTGGGTGTAATTTCGATACTTCCGAGGACATATTGCAATGCTTGAGAAAACTATCAGCCAACTATATCATCGACCTTCAAAACAGATTATATGTAAGTTTACAATTAAATTAAACTATTTCATGAATTATTGTTTCTCCAATTTTGTATTTTTTCCTATGTAGACATATTTTAATAAAATGAAAAACTCTAAGTAATATAAATCATTTATATTTTATAAACTATAATATAATGATGACATACTCTACGGTTTTTAACTTGGATAATCTACAGGGTAGCCCACGTAAAACAGAGGATTTTGTTTGAGTAGTAGGTACTAATGTTAATTAAAAGCATTACGATTACAGTATTTGATATTAATTATTTTGAAAATTAAGTTGTGTCTTTAATATATGTAATATATATTTGAACTTATTAGGTGAGTACTGATTTAATAAGTCAGATAAAAAAGTAGTGTAGGTATCTACTGTGTACAGTGTACGCACAATAATGTTATACATTAGGTGTACATATTAGTTAAAGATTAATTATAGTGACCTTGGAATGCTCGAATTTATTGCTGCTCTTATAGCTTACGATAACAACATGTTACTACATTTCTGAATTTCTTCTTATTTGCGTCCTGTGCTCCTGATTAATAAGACACTCGACAATACACAGTACAGGTAAATTTTATATTATATTTATACAATTATTTAGGAGTGTTCATATTTCATAACACGGAAATACTCGTTTGATGTACGGAAGTACGGATTATGTACGGATGTACCAGTGTCGTAGCGTGTGTGTATGATGTGTTTGTACCAACAACTAATTCAGTATCTTATAATAGTATAATACTTTTTGGATTATCTTCATAGTTCATTGTGATTGTTGCTTGATTTTTATGATTTATCCACAGCTCGCAGCGTTAAATTCACCTCTAACCGTATACTAGCCTCACTATATTAGTAGAAAATTGCCTTAGGTACCCGTTTTATTATAAAAAATCGGTTATGTAGATTATCATATAATATATATCAGTAGAGTTCAGTAAACAAACCTAAATAAAACTTTTAGATATATTTCTCAGTAGGTACAGTTCAGTTAATAAACCTATATTAAAATTGTTGATATTTTTATTTTTATTATTATTTATTTATTTATTCCAACTACAACAGAAATACTTAATACAAAATTATCATTATTATAAGAGTTGGTCATCTCCAAGCCAATAGCTGTGCGGAGATAGAAGTGTTGAATTCCCTTCTATGTTCCTCTGGTAGACAATTTTATTGAAGTGCCACCCAGTGAAAATTACTTAAAATATTGGTATATATTTATATGTACGATACACCTATGTATATGTTATAATATAATTAACTATTACTATATCTATATGTAAATATTGAGTTATTTTTCTTGAAGAATTCTGGTTAATGGAACAAGAAATTAATTTAACCATACTTGTAATTCTCTATTCTAGTAAATGGTTATGTAATATCAATAATAATTTTTATTTTTATTATATTTATTATTTAATTATTTATAAATTAACTTAATGAACTCGATCAACTTAATGAATTCGATTAAAAGTAAATCGTTATTTATTTTGTTTATATCAATTAAATTAAGTTAAGTTAAAAATTAAGTTAATGAAAATTAAATTTAAAAAAGTTATTTTAAGAGTTAAAATTAACTTGACTTTTAACTTTTTAACGTTTTTATGCCCATGCTTGAAGTGAAAACTTAACGTCTTAGGTACCTACTACTTATTTTATTTGTAATTAAAATGATAAAGTTGTGTTATTATTTATTTTAACAATAATATTATGGAACCTAAATCTCTAAAGATTACTGTGCCTACAAATGGTGAACTTAATTAATAGTTTAAAAATAAAAAAAATTAGGAAATAATTTATAAAGAAATAAAATCATTTTGATCCAAATATAATAGAAAAAAGGTGGGTAAGTGGATGTCGCTCTGCTGTACAGTAGGTTACAAGTGGGTCACTGTATAATGGATGGTGTTAAATTTGAATTCAATGATACAATATTATTGTATAAGAAAGCGATTCTGAGCGAAGATGGTATGTCATTCTAGGTTTAAGACATATTATATACATATCTATGGTATTAAAAAAAAATTGACCTATAATAAATTCCAAATTAATCATATCACAATATCCATTAGCCATTAGGTACTTATAAGTTATAACATGTTACACATCAATAACAAACCCTGATATTATCATAGATATATAATATAGTGTACTTTAGAAGTTTCAAGTACCCACGAATAGTATTATACACTCACAACAAAATAACTAAAATAGGTACATACGGTTTTAGATTCTGAGTGAAACGATGAATGTATTGATTTTACAATGATGTGTTTTTTTTATTTCTTATTTTTTTTGTGTCTGTGTACACGATAAGTAGTCGAAATAATGCTTCGATTTTCAACTTCAGTATCTTGTTCCATTGGAAAGTGAATATCGTTGGTGCATTGGGGAGGTCAAAATTTAAAATTCCCAGTACTTTTCAAAAGCGCCAAGAAATGTAATTTCGTCCAAATTTGAACATAAAAGACTATAAAAATAAACTGTGATTGTATATTTTTTAGATTTTTCGGTAAGAGAATTGAATACTTACGTGGAATCTTGTTTTAAATTTTCAATCCTTAGCTATAAAAACTAAACATTTTATAATTTATTAATTACGATGATTAATAATTTTCGAGATTTTGAAAAATTCTGTCAAAATTCGATGTTTAAATGCTTATAAAAAAAAATTATGCCTATGTATTTTAAATATTTTTCAACTGATATTGTAACAATATACCAGGAGCCTTGTATTAAATTTTTACACTTTTTGGCCCAACAGATAAAACTTTATTGATATTCATAGAAAAACAAACTAAAAAAATTGAAAACTGAAAATTTCCTTAAACAGCTCAAAAAGAGTCAAAATATTTTCAAAATTGTATGGTGTATAGGAAATGCTAATATAAACATTCAGTGAAATTTTCATGTATCTATAGTTATTCGTTTATGAATAACAATAAAATAAGGAAATCGCTACATGAGAAATCGAGTGAATATCCAATGTTGTAAAAATTTGAATTTCAAACGTTCATAAAAATTTAATTTGACTGTCCGGTAGAGATTTTTTTATTGATAGGGGTAGAAAAACTTATGAGTAATCTTGTATTACATTTTTAAATCTTAGATTTTAAAAGTAAAATTTTTACGAATTCTTAACTCAAAATAATTTGCTAATTTTCGTGATTTTTCCATATTTTGTCAATTTTTGAACTTTAAATGCTTATAAAAAAAAAACTGTGACTAACGATTTTTAATATTTTTCATCTGCCTTTGAAACAATATACTAGGAGCCTTCTATTAAATTTTCAAGTTTTTTTAACCAATAATTACACCAAAAACCAAATTAAATTTTCTGAAAAATCGATTTTACGTAAATATTCCCGTTTTTCCTAAATTTTTCTTTTGTTTTTCTCGGCGCTTGTGCAAACTATTGGGAAATTTAAATTTTGACCTCCTCAATGCACCAACGATATTCACTTTCGAATCGAACAAGATACTGAAGTTGATAATCTTAGCATTATTTCGACTACTTATCGTGGACATAGACACAAAAATAAAAAAAAAATATATAAAAACACACATCATTGTAAAATCAATACATTCATCGTTTCACTAAGAATCTAAAAAATACCAACTTAAAGTAATACATATATTATAATATTTATATATAAAATAATCAACATTTTATAAACAGAGACAGGTTAAGGTTATTAAGTTACTCATTGCAATATATTTATTCCCAATCATAGCAATACAACGAAATTCCATTTAAATGAATCATTGAACCTTTCGTAACTAAGATTAAAATGTGCTGCTTTATGTATTTTTCCCCTAATGGATTCTATACATAGGTACTATCTAATTTTAACTTTTCATATAATTTAGAAACATGCCTCTATTTATTAAAGTTATGGTTTTTAATTATCTACCTATTATATTATGAATACATAAAACTATAAATAAACCTAATAATTTGATAATATTTTAGATGATTTTAAAATGGACTTTTATTGCTGTCGTGCTGTACTTAGATTTGGGGCACTGCGTAGCACAGGAGTTGAAAATAACCAAAGGCGTGATTAAAGGACAATTTTTGAAATCCCGAAATGGGCGGTCTTATTATTCTTATACAGGAATACCATATGCAAAACCACCAATCGGAGAACTTAGGTTTAAGGTATATAATTTATTCACGTATATAATATTATATATAAACATGCAGGTCACCGTTTGGCTGAACGAAACATTTTTCATGCAATTATTATTACACGATGTATTTTTAATTTAGGCGCCAGTACCGGTGGAACGATGGGACGGCATATTGGACGCTACGAAAGAATCAAATATATGTATTCAATCGAGAAGCACGGACGGTCTGGAAGACTGTTTGTATTTAAATGTATATTCTCCAAAAACGAATGAAAAATCGTTACCAGTCATGTTTTGGATTCACGGAGGAAGATTTTCTGCGCTCCACGGTAGGTCTGGTCTATTCGGGCCGGATTATCTTATGGACAAGGACGTGATATTCGTAACAATACACTATAGACTTGGTATATTCGGTTAGTATATTTTCAAACGTCTCGCGATACTGAATAAATATTGTACACTATACATTTTTCTCATGGCTTTTATATAATATTGTTAAACTAATATAAATAATTAAACGTCTCTTTATGGTTGCGCAGGGTTTCTCAGCACCGAAGATGATGTGATACCCGGCAACTACGGAGTAAAAGATCAAGTAGCCGCATTACGTTGGGTGCAGGAAAACATAGTGCATTTTAACGGTGATCCTAATCGAGTGACAATTTCCGGCGGAAGTTCAGGAGGTGCTTGCACAGGATATCACATGTTATCGCCGATGAGTAAAGGTCTTTTTCATAAAGCCATTCTTCAGAGTGGTACACCGGTTTGCAAATGGGCCGTTTTACCTCCTGGAATTCCTCGTAAACGCGCCCATGCAGTGGCAACTATTTCAGGGTGTAATTTCGATACTTCCGAAGACATATTACAATGTTTAAGACAAGTTCCAGCTCAATATTTGATAGATCTTCACACCAAATTATTCGTATATTATTTATTTCAACGTATAGTTTTAAAAAAATAGTTATATAATATTTTTTATGTTTTATTTGATAAAAAAAAATTCTATTTAGACTTGGATTGCTTATCCTTTCGTTTTATTCAGTCCTGTGGTTGAAAACTGTAATACTGGTCAGGAAGCATTTCTTTGTCATCATCCAATATATGACTTTCATCAAGAGTCGTTCGTACCAGCTATTGTTGGTTTAAATTCAGACGAAGGGGGTTTGCTTGTTGCTGGTGAGTTAAACAATAACTAAAAATCATACTTATTAAATACTTGAACAAAAAATTATTTAAATATATTTTTCAATAACTACCGATTTTAAATAAAAATACATTCAAAAAGTATTTCAAATATTTTCAAATTCTTAAACGTACGTTTTTGACATTAACTGACTCATGATAGATTCTTAATTTTTAGGCCGTGTATTGATAGATAAAAATAATTGTTCGTAATCAAATGGTCCAATAGAATTAATACAATGTATAGAATTAATTTATGATTAATGTAATATATAAAATAAATTTCAGTAGCGTTTTAATAAAAAAATAAAAATAATACCTATTTACCTAAATGTTATTGTAATTCCACAGCAATGTACAACAATACGTCATTAATACAACCAGAAGTTCGTACCGATTTTAATCGTTTAATATCAATAATGATGAGCTATAATTATTATACAGAACCTGAGAACATTGACAAAATTGGAGAAAAAGTGCGTAAAAAATATTTCCCATCTGGAGGTATAGATGATCATTCACATATTAACGCTGTTAAAGTAGGTACAATAATCAATAATAAAATCAAAACCTTAAATTACTTTATTATCATTCTACATAATCGATGTATGACTGTATTTCAGATGTTCACCGATTCATGTTTTACAGAATGTGTTATTGATATGGCATATAAATTGTCATCTCCCGTGTATAGTTATTTTTATAGTTATCAAAATGAATTTTCTTATAATAAAGTGTATGGCTCATGTGAGAGACCCTTGGGAGTCACCCATGGCGATGAACTAATTAGTATTTTCAAAATGAATAGCCTAAATCCAAACGATTTAAATGAAAAAGATCTCGAAGTTTCAAAATTACTTATTAATATTTGGTATAAATTCATTGAATCTGAGTAAGTACTTTTATTAGAATTGTTTTTATAATTTTTAACTCGATATTTTAAATCTAAAATGAACCATTATTAATTATAGAGTAGGTACATACCTATTGTGTATTTGCGAACAATACAATTATTAATATGTACAACGTACCTATGTATACCTATGAATTACTATTAAATTTATTTAGTACCGGTTCACATTGTGTTCAACTTCTCTTCAGAAGATTAAACTAATTCTTGGAACATAACCCAAGATGTAAGCCTTATATTATTTTAGTCAATACTTACTACTATATTTTATATTTTACAGTAATCCCACCATCGATGGATTAGAAAATGGTTTACCTTGGCCTGAATTTACAAAACTAAACCAATCGATGATCCTATTCAATTCAAGTCATCCCAGTCTTATTAAAAATCCATGTATGGATGCCTATGAATTTTGGAAAAAACTTATATAATTCTACAAATAATGCCTGTTTCCGACAATAATCAAAACAATAAAACAATTGAATATTTTAAAAATCAACCGATTAGATATTTTTTTACATTACAATTTTAGATTCTGAGCGGAGCGATGAATGTATTGGTTTTACAATGATGTATGTTTTTATATTTTTATATTTTAGATTCTGAGCGGAGCGATGAATGTATTGGTTTTACAATGATGTATGTTTTTTTTTATTTATATTTTTATTTATATATATTTTTGTGTCTGTCATCACGTTTTAGGACAGTAAAAGTGCTTCGATTTTCTTCAATAGTACCTTTTCTGATAGGAAAGTGAATCTAGTTGGTACTTTGGGGGGTCAAAAGTAAACATTTCCCAGTAGTTTTCACAAGCGCCGGGAAAAACAACATAAAAATTAAGGAAAAACGGGAATTTTTACGCAAAATCGATTTTCCAAAAAATCGAATTTGGTTTTTGGTGTAACTCTAAAACAAATGAACGTATATACATGAAATTTTCACTGGTTGTTTATATTTGCATTTTCTATACACGATAACATTTTCAAAATATTTTGATTTATTTTGAACTGTTTAGGGACATTTTCATTTTCCATTTTTTTTTAGTTTTTTTTCTAAAAATATCAATAAAATTTTATTTGTTGGTTGCGAAAGCTTGAAAATTTAATAGAAGGCTCCTAATATGTTGTTTCAAAGGCAGATGAAAAATATTAAAAATCCTTAGTCACAATTTTTTTTTATAAGCATTTAAAGTTCAAAAATTGACAAAATATGGAAAAATCACGAAAATTAGCAAATTATTTTGAGTTAAGAATTCGTAAAAATTTTTCTTTTTAAATCTAAGATTTGAAAATGAAACACAAGATTCCTTATAAGATTATCTACCTTTATCAATAAAAAAATCTCTACCGGACAGTCAAATTAAATTTTTATGAGCGTTTGAAATTCAAATTTTTACAACATTGGATTTTCACTCGATTTCTCATGTAGCGATTTCCTTATTTTGTTGTAATTCAAAAACGAATAACTGTAGATACATGAAAATTTCACTGAATGTTTATATTAGCATTTCATATACACCATACAATTTTGAAAATATTTTGACTCTTTTTGAGCTGTTTATGGACATTTACAGCTTTCAATTTTTTTTAGTTTTTTTTTCTATAAATATCAATAAAGTTTTATCTGTTGGGCCAAAAAGTGTAAAAATTTAATACAAGGCTCCTGATATATTGTTACAATATCAGTTGAAAAATATTAAAAATACATAGGCACGATTTTTTTTTATAAGCATTTAAAGTTGGAATTTTGACAAAATTTATCAAAATCTCGAAAATTATCAATCGTTGGAATTAAAAAATTATAAAATGTTCAGTTTTTATAACTAAGAGTTGAAAATTTAAAACAAAGATTCTCTTAAATAATTCATACTGTAACCAAAAAATCTAAAAAATATATAAACACACTTATTTTTTACAGACATTTTAATTTCAAATTTAGACAAAATTTCATATTTAAACCAAGAATTACGATTTTAGTTATTTTGTTGTGATTGAATAATACTATTCGTGGGTACTTGAAACTTCTAAAGTGTACTATTATATATCTATGATAGTATCACGGTTTTTGTTGATGTATAACGCGTTATAAGTATCTAATGGATATTGTGATATGATTAATTTGGAATTTATTATAGGTACCTATTATAGGTCAATTTTTTGTTTAATACCATAGATATGTATATAATATGCCTTATACATAGACTGACATACCATCACCGCTCAGAATCGTTTTTCTTATACAATGATATTATATCATTGAATTCAAATTTAATACCATCCATTATACAGTGACCCACTTGTAACCTACTGTATAGCAGAGCGACACCCACTTGCCCACCTTTTTATTTATATTTTTATATTTTTGTGTCTGTCATCACGTTTTAGGACAGTAAAAGTGCTTCGATTTTCTTCAATAGTACCTTTTCTGATAGGAAAGTGAATCTAGTTGGTACTTTGGGGGGTCAAAAGTAAACATTTCCCAGTAGTTTTCACAAGCGCCGGGAAAAACAACATAAAAATTGAGGAAAAACGGGAATTTTTACGCAAAATTGGTTTTCCAAAAAATCGATTTTAGTTATTGGTGTAACTCTAAAACAAATGAACGTATATACATGAAATTTTCACTGGTTGTTAATATTTGCATTTTCTATACACGATAACATTTTCAAAATATTTTGATTTATTTTGAACTGTTTAGGGACATTTTCATTTTCCATTTTTTTTTAGTTTTTTTTCTAAAAATATCAATAAAATTTTATTTGTTGGTTGCGAAAGCTTGAAAATTTAATAGAAGGCTCCTAATATGTTGTTTCAAAGGCAGATGAAAAATATTAAAAATCCTTAGTCACAATTTTTTTTTATAAGCATTTAAAGTTCAAAAATTGACAAAATATGGAAAAATCACGAAAATTAGCAAATTATTTTGAGTTAAGAATTCGTAAAAATTTTTCTTTTTAAATCTAAGATTTGAAAATGAAACACAAGATTCCTTATAAGATTATCTACCTTTATCAATAAAAAAATCTCTACCGGACAGTCAAATTAAATTTTTATGACCGTTTGAAATTCAAATTTTTACAACATTGGATTTTCACTCGATTTCTCATGTAGCGATTTCCTTATTTTGTTGTAATTCAAAAACGAATAACTGTAGATACATGAAAATTTCACTGAATGTTTATATTAGCATTTCCTATACACCATACAATTTTGAAAATATTTTGACTCTTTTTGAGCTGTTTATGGACATTTACAGCTTTCAATTTTTTTTAGTTTTTTTTTCTATAAATATCAATAAAGTTTTATCTGTTGGGCCAAAAAGTGTAAAAATTTAATACAAGGCTCCTGATATATTGTTACAATATCAGTTGAAAAATTTTAAAAATACATTGGCACGATTTTTCTTTATAAGCATTTAAAGTTGGAATTTTGACAAAATTTATCAAAATCTCGAAAATTATCAATCGTTGGAATTAAAAAATTATAAAATGTTCAGTTTTTATAACTAAGAGTTGAAAATTTAAAACAAAGATTCTCTTAAATAATTCATACTGTAACCAAAAAATCTAAAAAATATATAAACACACTTATTTTTTACAGACATTTTAATTTCAATTTTAGACAAAATTTCATATTTAACCAAGAATTACGATTTTAGTTATTTTGTTGTGATTGTATAATATTATTCGTGGGTACTTGAAATTTCTAAAGTAATCTACTATATATATCTATGATAGTATCAGGGTTTGTTGTTGGTGTATAACGCGTTATAAGTACCTAATGGATATTGTGATATGATTAATTTGGAATTCATTATAGGTCAATTTTTTTTAATACCATAGATATGTATATAATATGTCTTATACCTAGAAGGACATACCGTCTCCGCTCAGAATCGTTTTTCTTATACAATGATATTATATCATTGAATTCAAATTTAATACCATCCATTATACAATGACCCACTTGTAACCTACTGTACAGCAGAGCGACACCCACTTGCCCACCTTTTTTATGTTATAATTGATAAAATTTGGTATTTTAATTTAAAGTACATACACTGAATATGTTTTTATGTCTTTGTTGAAAATGACACGTAAATCAATGGAATATGTATTTGTGGTTATTCAAGAAAATAATATGATTTGATATCTTTAAGAAATTAATTAAATATTAAAATTAGATAAATACATTATGCACATTTCACAGGTATTAGATAGGTATATTTTTACATTCTTTTCTTTAACTTGCATTGTTTCATTCATTCATTTCTGTTGTCATCAAATCTTGGGAGTTCAATTTAAGTCACTTCTACATGACCTAGGAGGCTCAAATTTTGTATGGAGGTCTAGGGTTGGTGACAATACATGACCCAGTTGTAAAAAAGAAAAAATCCTTTGTTTCTAATTTATTGTTATCACTAAAAAGTAGAAAATAAAAAACATGCTTTTCTTAATACTACTTAATACATGAACGAAAAAGTTGAAAAAAAACTTACTTTTAAAACTTAATGAAACTTCAAGGTTATCAAGATAATACTATAGAAGTGTTTCTAAAATGTATTTGTTGCAAAATTTTTAAAACTTGTGAATTACAAAAAACAAAATGCATGGGGCTCCTATGAGTCAAGAATATTTCTTAGTTAGTTCAATTTGAGCCTTTAGGTAATAATTATTGTTGTCATTCCAATGCAGAGCTATTCTCAGGGGCGGCCTGGCCAGGTGTGCTAGTGTGCCGCTGCACACCGGGCCGGCTTATATGTGTGGGCCGCTGGGGCATTTGAACATTTGACGATATTATTAATAAATTTATTTTTAAATACGAAACAGTTTAAAAACCACTGCTATTGTTTGGTACAATTCTACAATCAGTTCATAGTCGAACCATAAGTATTATAATAATAGTAGTATGACTGTATGAGCACATATGGTATGTTGTATATTGTAATTTGTATTATAATTCCTTAACCAACAATTTTAAAAAATCAGTTTTATCCATGTTATAAAAACAAGGTATGATCGTAACTTTTTGACGGTCAGATCATTCGGTAAGCACGTGACGTAAAGTAGTGTTTAGTAATAATAATTTAATGCCAATATGAGTAAGCAAGTGACGTATTGCGCGTACTTGGACCAAATCTGGACTTTTGCAATCATACCACGTTATTTATATCATGGTTTTATCAGTTATAGTCTAGAATTTCACAATTTTTGTCATACGTTAGACTCATCATATTTTATTTTTTTTTTATTAGGTCTTCCTGTCGCAGCCTGTATATAGATTATAAATAAACAATAGCCAATAAGTTATACTATATATTTTATAAGAATGATAAATGTAAAAATGTATAATCCTTTTGATATTTTTGATGTTTGTTTACTATTGTTTTTATCATTTATTTCATAGTCACAATTCATACTGGTATTAAACCAAAATCATCTTAATCAGTTTCAGAATTATCGCATTATTATAGTCATTACTTTTAATATAAACTTCAAGCTTTAATAAATATTTGCAAATGGTTCAATGATTGTAGTTTAGCAATAACTTTCTGGCGGTCGATGTACCAACCAAATCGTATAAAGTGTTTAAACATTTTTCTAGATTGGCTATTTTGAATTTTTCCAATTTTCATTAGAAAAAATATTTTTTTATATTATACATCTATTTCATCAAGTGACTATAAATTATTTATAAAAAAAAATTTATATATTGATTAGAACAAAAGTTCTTTTATCCGTCAGGTCTTCCTGTTACACTCTGTATTTTAAAACATTTAATGTATTCTGAAATAAATCATATTTATTTTAGGATGTATTATGTAATAAAACTCTGAAAAATACAATATCCATCACAATTAAGATTATTGTTTAATGTATATTATGTCAATAAATTGCTCATTTCTTTGAAATATGAAAATATTAATATTTTTTCTTGTGCATGAATACATTTTAGCTCTGTCGTGCATTCAAATAAAGTGTGAGAGGTTATTTAGTAAACTAAAAATAATTAAAAACATACTGAGGTTTATTTAAGATTTAATACACCAACACCACTTTACACTACAAAGAGGAGGTATCCTGGGGTCTTCTACCTCTGGACTACAAGACAAATTAATAGGTGTATTATATATTTGATACACTATCCGAAAAATAAGGTATTCATAAAGAAACTGTTATAAAGGATTTTGGGCCGCTTAGTTTTATAGAATACTGGGCCGTTTACCTCCCAGTCCGCCCCTGGCTATTCTTATCATATTATTATTGTTTTAACTTATTTTATTGAATGTTTATAATCCAAATGAATTGACTAACTGTCTAACTCTGATTTTCGTTTATACTTATAATAGCTAATAGTACCTTGTTAGGACTCAAATAAAAATAAAAAGTAAAATAAACCGTTTTCCCGAGAATAATTGTTTGTTTTTTTTCTAGTAACAATTTATGATTTAAGAGATATACATAATTCATATTTATGTCTAATTATGTGTTTAATAGTATTTATTATTGAATAAATATGCTTCATGTTCATAGTTTTGTTACTACTTGGATCTTGAAATAATAAGTAAACTATATCAACACATTGTATTCTATTTTCTCGTAATCGAGAACTGTTGACCTTGTTTGAAGTATATGTTTACATAATAATGTGTAATCTACATATACTATAGTTACTAAGATTAGATTATTAGAATATTTTTTAGTGTTCACAATATGCATTAATTATTAATAGGTACCTTAGTAGTTATAAGTTATGAGCACACTGTACATGCATATTAATATTATAATAATATGCAATGTATAGGAAAAATATTTAGGACATTTTTCATTGACACTATTATACCTTTAACCTTTACTTACTAGGTATTGCATTTTAACTAATAGTACTTGCATAACTCATTTTGGCATTTCGCCATGCATATTTAATAATAAATAATAACAAATACGTTTTTTTTTTTTATTATAAGTGACTATAAAAAAAATCATAACGATAGGTTAAATCAAATTAAATTTTATTAAATTTTTAATAATATATAGAAATTATATGACATCATTTCGGGTTGCGTATATTACTCAATAACATAATATTATGTAATATTAATGTTAAAAAGTCTACATGAACTAACATTCTAAAAACGTACGTCTTTCAGATTTGTAGTGTATCGTTATAAGGCATAACTCATTAGTGTTTGAATAATAATCACGGTTAAACGTATTATTTTGTTGTTATCTTATTTAATGAATGTTTAAGTACCTATACATACCTACTTAGCTATGCACAAAAAATAAAACATATTATCACTTTTTAAAATAAGTAGGTACCTAATTATTTATTATTCATTAAAAATTGAATTAGATATAGTTTGTTCAAAATACATAATTTGTCTATAATATACTGATCAGCCAGAGAACACGCAACTACGGATCGACGAAAATCGGTTCTTCTGCGCATCCCCACGAGGCCACCCTGTCATAGATGAACAAGTTTGAAGCAGGGGGAATGAGCCTAATCTGCGTGTCCTCTCGCTGAACAGAGTATAGTTGTTAATCAATATTAATTATAAAATGGTTATTATTATGAATATTAGGCATATATCGGTATAATTGATAAATCATCACTGATCTGAATGCAAATAAACAAAAACTTTTTTTCTTAAAAATTTGATTAAAATGTTGTAACTAATAGTTACATTATTATACGTAGTGGACTATAATGTGTTTTTCAAGGACCTGGACATCGAATCAGGTAAAATTATATTTGTAACTTTAAAAATAATTATACTCTACACTTGGTTTTATAATATTTTTAGAAAGTTAATGAAATAGTATATTTTTAAAGATTTAACCTTTTATTTTCTTCAAAATGGTTTTTTAATTTAAATTCATTATGAAAAGATAATATTTATTGCCTTTTGTACATATAAAATTATAAATAATTTATTATATTATTGTATACCTTTTTGAAATTATTATTAATACATAATAATGATACCTTATCAAATGGTTTAATAAAATCTACCTATACAAATTTGCATTAAAAAAAAATATACAATTAAAATGATTATAAACTTATAACTTTTAGCCTATATGCCTATATTTAAATTGGAAAAGCAGAAAGACACACTATTTAAATTGGCCAGTGCATTGAATGTGTATACAAACATATTATCTAGAAACTAACTTTTTTTTAAACTTACGTTTTCTTACAATAATCGACAAGTATTTTAAACCTCTTTATCAACCATAGACATAATAATATAATATGGACTGTTGTGTGTTTCATATACCTGGCTCCTATAGATTGCCAACATTGTTAGAAAAAGATAGTAAATACCTGTGCACATGGGCGGGGGTGGGGGATAACAAGCTGAATTATGATTATTATTTTGTTGTTTTATATTTATCAAGTCTCAAATGGTAAACTAGTAATCAAAGGCGTGTATATACATAATACATTATAGATATACCTACGGCTAACCAGATTAGCTATAGCCAACATAAATAAAAAAGAACAATTGACAGAAGTTTAAGTTGTATAAAGATTTTCAAATAGTTCACCTAAAAGTCTGAAATTATTAGTCCGGACAAAATAAACATAAAATTGTACTTTATTGTACTATTTTTATGATAAAAAGTTTTTTCAAATATATTTTTATGTATATTATGTTATATTTTTCTATCAGTATGAACTGTAGAAGCACCTACATTATTTTTTAGACTTTATCTTGTGATTTGTGACAATTATGAGTAATTATGAGTAATCCCCCCCCCATTCAAAAATCCTGCGTACAACATTGAAGTGGCCTGAAGTGTATTGTGTAGGTAAACTTCATTTTTTTTCTAAAAATGTTGTTATCTTGGTTTTTGAACTTTTATACTCTCACTCTTATACTATTAATGCGTATAGAAGGTCTTAATGTTGTATACTATTTCTTCTAAAAATGTTGGCCCCCGGACCTCTATATCAGTAGATTTGAAAGTATATCATGGTGTAACTTAGTCCATTTCTTTATAGTTCTATGTTGTCAACTCTGCATTTATTAAAATTGGTTAATATCTGATTTTATATCCTTTTAAATCCTCGGGGAATAATTATTTTCAAAACACAACAAAATGATAAATATATTTAAATATTCAATGGGATTATTATTATTATTATTATTATTATTATTATTTATTATAAAGGTGCGAGGAAAGCTGGTGTACGCCCTGATAATATTATTTTTGAGTTCAGCATTTTGCCAAGTGGAGGTAAAAATTACAAAAGGAATTTTAAATGGTCGAGTTTTGAAATCTAGAAATGAACGGCCTTATTACTCGTTTACTGGTATACCGTATGCAAAACCACCTGTTGGAGAACTCCGATTTGAGGTGGGTACCTACTCAATCTGCATAGGTAGTTGTCAGTCCGTTAATCCTTTCAATATCACTGTACCAATATTATGTTATATCGTAGGCTCCGGAACCAGCCGATCCATGGCATGGTACCTTAGACGCCACTAAGCATTCAAACGCATGTGTCCAAAAATATGAAACTAATAGCAGTGAAGATTGCCTGTATTTGAATGTATACACGCCAAGTACTGATGGCAATTTTCCCGTTATGTTTTGGATTCATGGAGGGGCGTTTTATTTGGGACACAGTAGTCCGGATATGTTTGGTCCTGAATATTTTATGGATTCAAACGTAGTCTTGGTCTCGGCTAATTTTAGATTAGGCGTATTAGGTGAGTTGTGTTTAATTGCACATTATGTTAGCTAATTACATTCTTTTTTCAGTACCTGTTTATATTAAATTATGTGTAGCTGGTATGGTGTTAGAACTTATTTTAATATTATTATTATTAAAACTATATAATGGTACTAATGTACTTGCTACATTCTATACATTTATCCGCTATAGGTTTTTTGAGTACCGAAGACGATGTTATACCTGGGAACTATGGAATGAAAGATCAAGTTGCGGCATTGCGGTGGGTCCAAGAAAACATTGTTAAATTTGGCGGTGATCCCGGAAAAGTGACGATTTTTGGAGGAAGCTCTGGTGGAGCTAGTACCGGTTATCACATGTTATCGCCGATGAGTAAAGGTCTATTCCACAAAGCCATCCTCCAAAGTGGTACTCCGTTATGCCGTTGGAGTACATCTCTACCTGGAGTAGCTCGCGATCGAAGTGAAATCATTTCACGTATAGCTGGATGTGTTGGAAACTCGTCTTCTAAAAATATATTGAAATGTCTCAAGACATTACCGGAAAGTTTTTTCAGTGACGTTTATGATAAACTTCGGGTAAGATAATATTATGTTTGGTTCTTCATAGATTAAAAATAAAACCATTTGTACATTAATAATTATTTTATTTTACCTGTTTTGTTTCTTAAATATTACTGGATTCTTAGTAATTATCTTTTCCTCCCAATATAATATAATACAATATAGGAATGGCACTCGTATCCTACTGTATTGTTTTCACCGGTAGTGGAGCAGTGTGACAATGGCCAAGAAGCGTTTCTTTGTCGTCATCAGTTGAATGAGTTCAAGCAAGAGTCATTCGTCCCGGCCATTATCGGACTAAACTCAGCTGAAGGCGGTATGATAGTTGCTTGTAAGTTGGTGCCTAGAAATTTAATATTGCCCTACAATCCCTGGGCAATAACCACACCCCCTCTGAAATTTCAAGGACTGATGTAAAAAAAAAACCATGTGTGCGATATTCGTTTGATCTACGATCCGACCTAAAAGTACCTATATATATATTTTAGCTTTGTACAACGACACTTCTCTTCGATATCCAGAATTTTATACGGATTTCAATCGTTTGCTATCGATCATACTGTCACATCAGCATTTCACACTCGATTTGGGCGAAATCGGTGAAAAAGTACTCGGGAAATATTTCCCATCTGGAAAAATCGGAGATCATTCGCATTTGAAAACTGTCGAAGTAATATTTATTTATATACTTGCGACTATAGTACTATACGACTTTTTATGTTGGTTTCTTATTGAATAGGTTTTGTTAATAAAATGTATCCGTGTTTTAGATGATTACCGATGGTCGTTATCTTCACGGCATATTGGACATGGCTCTTAAGTTGGAGTCACCGGTGTATTTTTATTTATACGATTACCAAAACGAATTTTCATTTAATACTTTATATGGTAAATGTAATAAAAAATTGGGAATCACGCACGGCGACGAGTTGACCAGTCTGTTCAAATCGGACACTATAAATCCTAAAAAAATGAATTCAAGAGATACTGGTGTTTCGAAGCTTATGGTTGATGTTTGGACGAAATTCGCAACAGCAGAGTTAGTATGAAAAGTGAAAACTGTTATTATAGATAATAGTATACTCCTACTTAATATAATCAACTACTATACTATACTCTGTTCCATTTAAGAGTGAACCACTCTGTTGACCAAATCTCGTGTTTGCGCTCATTCCCAGCACAATCCGGACATCGGCGAGAGTTTTAACACAGCAACCGACGGCCAACTACGGCCGGCGATGACTGTCCGCCAATCACAGAACGCATAGTCATTGCATGGGGGGGGGGGGCTCAGTCTGTATGCGCAAAAGTGGTTCACTATTAGATGGAACAGAGTATAAGTAAATAGGAGGTCTATTTGCTAAACTTTGAACGTGATTCAATTTTGTTGTTATATAATATTCTTATTCAGTTTATATGTCAGTTACAATTTTGTTCCAAACCTTATAATTATATCTCAGAATTATTCAGTAAAATATAAAAATGTAATATTTCTGGGTTTAGTCTAAAAATGATAGGATTAGTTAGGATGTAATTGATATACTATAGTTTAATAGCATTATTGAACTTAACAAACTTGTCATTATTAATATATATAAAACTAAAAGTGTGTTTAATAGGTACATAATGATAATTAATACTACTCTAACTTATTAATTGACAATAATTTTGTAGATGAATATCGTGATAGGAATTTTTAAGATGAAAATCTATTATTAAATGTGTTTCAATATAAAATAATATGTAACTTTAAATGCATTGTATAAATATAGAGTTGTCTATTCTTACATAATGTGAACAATATTTACAGATCACCTACTATTGATGGAACAGTAAATGGTCCATCATGGCCAACGTTTAACTCGCAAAGCCAATCAATACTTCACATACATTCAGATCATCCAGATATTATCCAAAATCCGTTTGAAGAAAAGTATACTTTTTGGAATAATTTGCCTCTTCTTTCTAATTTCAAGAATGTAATTTCAAAAAATAAATTTCCACCAGATCATATGAAAAATGAGTTGTAAATTGTAATTGAGTACCTTGAATTTAGTGAGGCTTTATGTTAAATAAAATATTAATAAATATGTATTTTATAGTTTTGTATAAAATGCACCATCAATTTTGTTTGCAAATTATTATGATATGTTTTTATTAATTAATTTTGTTTTCAGCATTTTTCAAAAAAAAATGTGTTTTTATACTATTTATATTAATTATTTACACTTAACTTAATTTATTTGAGAATAATATGTGATTTGATTTCTGTGCACAATTTTTTTGTTGACAATAATAATAAAATTTAAATTCACTTTCATTTCGATTAATACATCATTGTAACAAATTATTTTGTTAACATTTTATATTTTTATTAACCAATTATCATTCAAAGCTGATACCTATACAAATGTATCGTTGTTTTGGTTTGAGCAATATATTTTATAAAATAAATACATTATTTTGATCGAATGGTTTCTAGGTTTAGGAAGTCAACATTAATTATTATATAATAATAAATACAAAGATTATCCTTTGAATTGTTTTTTGAACTTCCTCTTTCATTATTGATTTGCACTGCTAATATTTTCATTATTCATAATTACAGAATAACTATTCAATAATAATAATAGCATAGCCGAAATGCAGACAACAAAAATAAGAAACACGTAGGTCAAACTGTAAATCATGAATAATAATTAAGATACTATTATAATTAACCGTTTCACAGGGCAAATATGTTTGACATTGTCATCTTAAAATGTATATTTTTTACTTATATATAAACTGTTTATGATTTCAAACACTTTGCAGTAGACTATTATAGACACTTATTGTGTCTATATAATCTTCTCCGCGACTTACGTATTAATTTTTTTCATTCGGCCCTGGAGTAGTTTTTCTATAAGGTATAATTTTTTATTCATGGTTTTGTATAAGTCAATGTTTTTTATTCTTTAGTTTATTTTATATGCAGTATGCCTAAATAATAAAATAGCTTAAGACTAGCTTTTGACTTTTGTTACATATTCAGTCAAATAGATGTTATTCTAAAATAAAAATAATAGGTATTTAAATTTTTTTTTTTAATATTTCCAAATCAATGTATACATTTTTAGTATAATATTTATTTACAATATAACTATAATAAATAGCTAAAATAATATTGAAATGGTTTATGTATAGTTATACTATTTTAGTTTTATGAATTCAAGATGTTATCAGAAATTCATTATGGAAGTAACAACAATTTATCTTTATTTTGCAGCTTTCTTAGATTTTGTATTTTGTATTATTTTTATATCAATTAATAATTACAATGAAAATATTTGGTATTCTTATGCTGCTGGTCGGACTCGCATATGGTACGGACAATATTTTGAATTTAAGACAAGGAAAGATAAACGGTAGTATTATTGAGTCAAGAAATGGACGGGAATTTTATGCATTCCAGGGAATTCCCTATGCCAAACCACCGATTGGAGACCTTAGATTAGAGGTATTTAAAGCGAACATCTACGTTGTACAGTTTAAAATTTGTTTCGAGTTTACTTGTTAGGTATTAATGATGAGTGTAATTTTTTTTTTAGGATCCGGTAGAAGCCGATTCATGGAGTGATATATTAGATGCGACCAATGAAAAACCAATGTGCATTCAGAAGAATTTGTTCATGTATGAATCATATAATGTACTTTTAGGTAAAGAGGACTGTTTGTATATGAATGTATACACCCCTAAGGTAATTGGCTCAATTAAAAAAAAAAATCATTTTCATAATACTGCTAAGATAGTATTAATTAGATATTCTGGAAAAATAGTAAAAATTCGATTATTTATTATTTATTTATATCATATTTATTAATAGTCAAGCATAAGCCAAAATATTATTTTATAACAATTTATTAAAAAGAAGACAAAATATCAATATGTTAAAATATAATTTATTTTATTTTTTATATTTTATAGATCCATAAAAAAGTTCAAAAGGACTTGCTACCAGTTATGGTTTGGATCCCAGGTGGAGGTTTTAGCTCTGGGCACGGAGGTCTGAGTTTATATGGTCCTCACTATTTGCTAGACAAGGATGTTGTTGTTGCTTCATTCAACTATAGAGTTGGACCTCTAGGTAAATTATTAAAATACTTTAAGGTTAGATGACTTATATTAGGTAGGTACATAAGCTACATCTATTATTATGAGATATGACTTATGTTTGATATTAAGAATAGTAATGAAACTATTATATTGTTGTTTTTAGGGTTTTTGAGTACCGAAGACGATATTTTACCGGGAAATTATGGCATGAAGGATCAAGTTTTAGCACTGAAATGGGTCAAAAGTAATATTGAAAAGTTCGGAGGAGATCCGAATAAAGTAACGATATTTGGTGAAAGTGCTGGAGGAGTCAGCGTTGGTTTACATTTATTATCACCACTGAGCAAAGGTAAACGTATAACTTGGTCACATATTTACAATTGAATATGAATAAGTAGGTACTCTAGCTACTGTTAATAATATATTTTTAGGATTATTTCATAAAGCAATACTTGAAAGTGGGACTCCCCTGTGCCGATGGGGTGTATCTCCACCAGGATTGGCTAAACGTAGAGCCTTATCACTGGCTACTATTTCTGGATGTCCTGAAGACTTAAAACAATTTTCTAAATGTCTGAAGAATATGCCAGCAGAGTTATTAGTTGATCTTCATTACAACTTTTTTGTAAGTAACCATAATATATTTTTTATGTAAAAATATATCTACTTATTCATTATTTTGATTTTAAACAATAGGAAAAATTAAAGAACATAATCTTTAAAATGTTCTATTTTTAAAGTAGGTAATACTATAATCATACAAATATACAATATTCAAAATAAAATGTATTGTTTTAGCCGTTATATTATTTAGTTAACTATTATCTATTACGTATATAAATATAAATGTAGGTATTATGTGCGTATAATAATGTTAATAATTTATACCAATGTACTTGATATTCTTGAAGGAATGGAAAGTGTTCCCGGCAATCACGTTCATGCCTGTTGTTGAAAACTGTGAAAATAAAACAGGGTTTTTATGTAAATATCCATTGCTTGACTTTAAACAAGAATCGAATGTTCCAATTTTAATGGGCATGAATTCCGGAGAAGGTGGTCTTTTTGCTGCTCGTGAGTTATTTTTTTTTTATATAAATATTTCAATTAATAATATATCAACAGTATTTTTGAATTATTATTCACACTCCATGTAGAAAAATTGCATAACATTTTTTATTATTATTATTATTTTAAATAAGTATTATACAATCTGTATCAGTTGATAATAAACATATTGGTATATAGGCTAAGAGTAAAAAAAAGCATGAGTATATTAAACTATATTTTACGAAGGAAGCCACCCAATATGGTGACACTTTTAATTGAGGAGCTTATTAATGTTCATGTTAGTTAAGTAAAAGATCTCGACACCACTTAAGCTTAAGTGGCCTTGAAGGATTATCAGGTATAGTAGAAGACGCTACATTGTTAGTTGGAAGATTTGTATATTAAGTAGTTATCATGTCATGAATCCTTTTATAGTAGAGCTTGGCTTCTACATTTAGAGTTTTTAGATTTTAGAACTAACTAAGAAAATAAAATAATTGTATGTGGCATAACATGCTTTATTTTTTTAAGGAAGAAGTCTATTTATTTATTTGTTAGAAATTAATATTCAACGAAATAAATTGATGTAAATACAAGAAATAGAATAAAATACAATTTAGTTGTGAATAGGTACCGGATGTTGTAAAATAGGTACCTATTCTGACTTAGACTATATGTAATAAAACCTATTGATTACTTTACTTAAAAAGTGTATTGCTTAACTAGGTAAATTCAATTATTTCTTGTACATACATGGCTATGGTTCAATTAAACGCATTTTTTTATTTGTAAGATTACGATTAAAAAGTATTATTTTGGAAATGGCTGAAAAAATAATGAAAATATATATTATACCTAAAATGTTTTAATATAATTTAAATGAAATTTTTTTTTATTAGGAGTCTATAATGAGAACTGTGAAGTTGACCTTGAATTAAAGAATAATTTTGATCACTATATTTCATCTTTACTTATTTATAAATACACGACAAAGATGTCCGATCTTCCCATAATTAGTAAAAAGATATACAACCGTTACTATACTAAAGGAAATATGAACGATCCTTTAGACACTGTTAAAGTTAGTAGACCGTATTATATTTAAATTAGCAAAATATGTTAAATTAAATTTTAGTTTTATTGTACTAATGTTATAGACAAATGCATTATACTCTATTTAATGTTTGTTTTTTTTTTTTTCAGGTGGTTAGCGGTGGAATCTTTCTGCAAGGAATATTTGATATGGCAATCAAACTATCATCACCGGTTCATTATTACGTTTATGATCATACAAATAAAAATATGTCATTTAATTCATATTTCGGGCCTTGTAAAACTAAATTAGGAGTAACGCATGGTGACGAAATGATCAGTCTATTTTTTACCCAGGGACAGGACGAATTAAAAGGGGAGGATCTCAATGTATCTAAGCTCATGATCGAAATATGGACTAATTTCGCTATCACTGAGTACGTATAATTATTGTTGTTGATAATTAACATCAGTAAAAAATAATTTTTTTTTAATGATATTTAGCAAAGTCACGATTGATGGAACGGACAATGGAAAAGAATGGCCGTTGTTGGATTCCAAAAGTATGAAATATCTGTTGATCAGTTCAAGTAAACCTGTTATATCCAAGAAGCCATTCATGAAAGAGTACGAATTTTGGAATGGTTTACCATTATTATCTGCATTTAAAAAGTCTGCGGAGGTTTTAAAAACTGAACTTTGATTTAAAAACAATCATCAAGTTATATTATATACAAAAAAATATCGATTTTAATACAATGTGTATAAAATCATAAAAATGTGACAACTATTATAAATTATGGATATGTAATGTTTATTCTATGCGGGGTAAAAAAAAATCCAATTGCTGGGTGTGAAATTGTACATAAAAATTATAATTTAAGATAATCTGAAATATGAATCTGATATATATACCTATCATATGGTTCAATATAAGGATAAATGATGAACAATTAATTAAAGCATGCTGAGACAATACTAGTGTTTGAAAGATTTATCAATACATATTATTTACTTTATGTAATTTATTTCAGTAGAGCATCATTATAACTAAAGACCGGATTTATATTCTCTTAAAATACCCAAAATATGATGCTATTATTCTCTAAAAAACCTTCAAATATTCTCAGTATATTCTCTCAAAAATTTAAAAAATATGCAAAAATAATCAAAAAACATCATTATATTATGCTTTAATATGCATTTATTTTTTAAAATTTTATTTTCAACTATATTTAATTAGGTATTAAGAGTTGCATATTATACCTCATGGAATAGTATTGCACTTTAGCAAGAGTAAGAAGTTGGAATATAATATAAATACAACAGTATAATATTAAAACACAAAAACAAAATTTTGATATTTGAATATTTGATAAACTTATAAGTTGATCTTATCAGTAGATATACATAGATAAACCTTGATAATACTGCGTGTTTTATTTTTATCAAAATGAAAAAAAAAAAAATTGTAAATGGTCAAAAAAAATTTTTCAGAGTACCGTAATATTCAAATTAATAAAAATAAATACAAATTTTTGCTCATAATTTACGAAATATTCCAAAATATGCTAAATGGGTTAAATATTCTCCAACCCATGAAATATTCTCAAATATGCAAAAAAAACTTTTTTCTACGCATTCAGAATTGAGCGAATCGTCCACATTTTTTACTCTCATAAAACTGCATAGACCCAGTAACGATATGTAAAAACATATAAATCCGGTCTTTAATTATAACTAATTATTAAATACACACTATTTAGCGTATTTTATCTATTTACCTACCTTAATTATGATTTTGGGCACAACTCGTACAAGTACTTATCTTTTACTTGGTGTTTGGTTATTAAACTAAATCTTATCTCAGCGTATTACTGAAGTGATTATCATACGACTGTAGCTTAAGCAATTTAGCGATATATTTTATTTACCTATTCATGGTCGGTTTTAAGCCATCTATTTACAAATTAAGCAAATGGTTCGAACTTTCTTACTGTAATTTAGTCAGACAAATTAATAATAAAAAAGGTGGGTAAGTGGATGTCGCTCTGCTGTACAGTAGGTTACAAGTGGGTCACTGTATAATGGATGCTATTAAATTTGAATTCAATGATACAATATCATTGTATAAGAAAAACGATTCTGAGCGAAGACGGTATGTCAGTCTAGGTTTAAGACAAATTATATACATATCTATGGTATTAAAAAAAAAATTGACCTATAATAAATTCCAAATTAATCATATCACATTATCAAAATATCCATTAGGTACTTATAACACGTTATACATCAACATCAATAACAAACCCTCATACTATCATAGATATATAATAGTATACTTTAGAAGTTTCAAGTAGGTACCCACGAAATACGAATAATAATATATAATCACAACAAAATAACTAGGTTTTTTAATATGTAATTTTGTACAAATTTGAACATAAAATGACTATAAAAAGAAACTGTGATTGTATATTTTTTAGATTTTTCGGTAAGAGAATTAACTACTTACGTGGAATATTGTTTTAAATTTTCAATCCTTAGCTATAAAAACTGAACATTTTATAATTTATTAATTACGATGATTAATAATTTTCGAGATTTTGAAAAATTCTGCCAAAATTCGATGTTTAAATGCTTATGAAAAAAAATTGTGCCAATGTATTTTTAATATTTTTCAACTGATATTGTAACAATACTGGGTGATTCTTTTATCAAACAACACTCATTATTTCAAAAAGTGTAAATATTTTTGAAGATATTTTTTCACATAGTTTCAAGTTGCTTATAATACAACGTTAATATATTTTTTTAATAAAAACGTTGTTTATAAGCGACTTGAAACTATTTAAAACTAACGATTTTAATATTTTTCATCTGCCTTTGAAACAATATACTAGGAGCCTTCTATTAAATTTTCAAGTTTTTTTAATCAACAAATAAAATTTTATTGATATTTCTAGAAAAAAAACTAAAAAAAATGAAAAATGAAAATGTCCCTAAACAGTTCAAAATAAATCAAAATATTTTGAAAATGTTATCTTGTATAGAAAATGCAAATATAAACAACCAGTGAAAATTTCATGTATCTACGGTCATTTGTTTTAAAGTTACACCAAAAACCAATATCGATTTTTTGGAAAACAGATTTTGCGTAAAAATTCCCGTTTTTCTTTAATTTTTCTTTTGTTTTTCTTGGAGCTTTTGAAAAGTACTGGGATTTTTAAATTTTGACCACCCCAATGCACCAACAATATTCACTTTCCAATCGAACAAGATACTGAAGTCGAAAATCGAAGCATTATTTCGACTACTTATCGTGTACACAGACACACAAAAAAAAAAAATAAAAAAACACACATCATTGTAAAATCAATACATTCATCGTTTCACTCAGAATCTAAAAATGTATATTATCAACTTAATTGATTTTATGATATTTTTACTGTATAAAATATAAATAAACTTGTTGGTTCATATTTTAATACTTTCAAATATTAAGCAGTTATGTATTTATTTTTTTGTATTTTGGGCCATACAATTTAAAAGTATTGTCTTTAAACCATACCCGGGAAACCTAGGATTTTATAAAATACATACCAATACAGACGCTTTGAAAATCAAAAAAAATTCAAGACTATTATTATGTTATTATTATTAAATTTATTTCTCAAAAAAAGAATCCATATTATAATGACTGAAATCCATTAAAATTTCAGGAGTGGCTAACATATTTTATATCAATGTGGGGCTTCAATCCCACTTCACTAAAAATATGAGTGTTATTGGGTGGATAAGCCCCCCTTGTTCTATATATCTAACCTTTACAAAATCCTAGGACCACACTAATATTTTCATTATTTCTAATAATAGAATAAATATTCAACAATAATATAATAAACATGAATTCCATCCCGGCAAATCAACTATCTTATTATTATTATTATTATTTAGATATTTATACTGTAAAACCCTTCAATACGCCGTTTTAAATTTTAATTTAAGTACGAAACCATGTTTACGGAAAACAAATGTTACGTCCAAGAATTATATTTATTATTGAATTACCTATTTATATAAATGGACGCACCTCGAATTTGATTGAATATTAAGTTTGCATCAATAAAAATCAGTCTGGTTAAATATTAAACTAAAAAAAGAGTTAAAATTAAACTTAACTTTTAGCGTAGCTTTAACTTTATAGCTCGTCGAAAGTGAGTATTATCATCGTATAGATACAGGCTCATTACTCCGACCCACGGTTATCTACTAAGGTTGGAGCACGGCACCTTATCACATGTACAAGTGGTGTGACTAGTGAACTAAAAGCGCTAGTAGTAGTCGACCCGATTTTTACATGTAAAACATACAATAGATTGTAGTTTTGTACTTAAACAAAAAAGCAGTTAAGTTCTGTAAAAAATTGTTCTAAGTAAAAATGTTGAATGTTAATTTGTTCATTAGTTCAACTTAGTTTGAATTATTTAATTAACAGATAAGTCTGTAAATTAAGTTTTTATAAAATAAGCTTAGGGAAACATTTCATGAATGAAATGTAACCCACATGTTCAATTTTTAAAATAAATATTTTTAATTGTATAGCATTTTTAACAGATTTAATCACATTTTTCAATTGATCATTTGTACTCCCAATCATTCCATGAATTGTATGTTAAATTCTCGAATCCTAGAAACATTAATTATTTTTATTTCAACATATTATATATATATTTTTTTTAAGAATTAATACACTAATTGTTAAAAGCAATAAGCAAAAGCCAAGCAAGTATAAGCAAGTATTTAATATTTTAATGTAATTTAATTATCATGTATTATATAATTTCGATATTTTCTTTTTTTCTCTTGATACTTTTTTTAATTTAAGGTTTTCTTGATATGTGTATTGCCGTAACCTCATTTGAATGAAATAAACCAATTTGACCATTTTATAAATCTTTAATCTTATCTAACACAAATACTCGAAAAATAATAATTAATATCGAGGAATACTATCTGCTAGTTTTTTGGAGGGAAAACGTGATATCAATTTTCTATCACAATACACGCGTAATATTTTGTTTTTAAATACTTTATTATAGTAATTAAAAATTTAAAGTCATCTAATCTATAAAAAATAAAATTCATTATTAAAATTAACTAACTTATTTATTACAACACAATTGTTTATAAATATTAAATAAAAAAAAAAGTTGTTTGTCCTATTCATTATATATTAAAACCGGGCCAACTACTACTAGCGCTTTTAGTTCACTAGTTACGCCACTTCGACATGGCTATAACATGGGGAACATAGTAGCGAGCTCCAACCTTAGTAGATAACCGTGCTGTAAACATAACAAAGCTATTTCTGAGTCCTCGTAAAGGTTTATAGGTGGAAAATAATTTACAGATAATATGGTAGCATTCCCAGTTAAAGTTAAAGTAACTGACTCGTACATTACAAAATCTAAGATATAAATTTAATGATGAGATCCGTGACGTTTAATATGTAGAACAACTGTTAACGTCTCGTTAAAATTATCAATTGGATTATTGTTTTGGTCAACTAACTGAACAGTAATTGAATTAATATCTGTTTTGTTTAATCTGTAATATATAAGGTTTACCGGAGATTGAACAACCTTTGTTCCTGTTTTCCCAATCGGGAAAAACTCGTGTATCGAATGACTTTGAAGTTGG